AACCGGTCTCACCCTTCTTCACCACACTTCTATCCCTCTTCGTTTTTGGTCTTTTGCTTTCCAGGCCGCTACTTATCTCATTAACCGCATGCCCTCACCCACTATCGCTTTTGACACTCCCTTTCACAAATTGTTCCATCACCATCCTAATTATGCTTCTCTTCATGTTTTTGGTTGCCTCTGTTATCCCTGGCTTCATCCCTACACTACTCACAAATTAGAGCCTAAATCTCATCCTTACATATATCTCAATTATTCCATTGCTCATCACTCTTTTTATTGTTTTGACCCACACACTAATAAAACCTTTGTGTCCTGCCATGTTAAATTTGAGGAGACTTTATTTCCTTTTCAACAACTCTCCCCTATTGTTTCTCGGGAAGCTCCTACCTCGATTAATGAATTCTTATCCACTCTCGTCCAACCCCACAACATGGCCCATCTTCTCCTACTTTCCTATCCGGCCCACCACTCACCCAACCCATTTCCCATATGCCTCTCCACCAATTCCCATCACTTGCGCAATCCCTTCCTCACCAGCCCTCTCCAACCATATTGCCCATATTAGGCATGAATGTTGAGACTCTCGCTAATATGGTTAAGGAATTGGAGAAAGATACCTCTGACATCCATGGCGATGGCATGAATGTCGATGTCGAGGTAGAGGTGGAAGGCCATAGTAATGTCCCAATGAAGGAAGATGTGGTTGCATCTACATGCCAGACAGCCATTACTACCGTAGTAGAAGGGCAACCGTAACAGCAAGAGGAAGGCAAGGGATGAGAGCCTAGACAGTTTCATGGAACAAATGGGCGTGTTCGACAAAGCTGTTGAAGGATCCCATGAAGAAATGAAGGACATTTTCTTGTTTTTCAAACGAGAGTCTTTGGAGAAGGATGGGAGGGGTATGTTGTTCAATGCTATTTTTGAATTGGATGGGTTTACATTGGATTAGTGTTGGACGCTGGCGAGGCAATCACCAAGGAACCCCATAAAATGGAGTTTTTCTTTGGGTTGCCAATGGATGTTAGGCGGGAGTATGTGAGGAAGCAACTATCTGAAAGTAATGTGTATCATCCATCGTTTGATCATTTAGATTAAATTAAAGTTAGTTTATTTTAATTTTTGCAATGATGTCTTATTTTAACGAACTAGGTTGTCTAAGTTAGTGTTATCCATTGCATGAATATGGTAGTTTTTGGCTATATTGGGGGGATGCTGTGTATTTTGCATTGTAAGAATGGTGGATGTATTTCCAATTAGCTTGCCCGTGGTAGTGCATTGTCTTTGCACTTAACCGTACCTTGCAGGGGGTATATTTTGCTATGTAACTAACTTGTTTTTGTAAACCCAGCTTATCTAAGTTAATGTATGGAAATGGTGTTCATGTGTGATTGACGTTAGTGCAGTTGCATATCTCATATTTATGTTGTTAGTACTTTATTAATGATAGCGAATAGTCCTGTGCACCAATAGTTATTCAAGAGATGCAAGGTATAATGGAAATAACTTTGGACTATTATTTCATAACACCCATCACGAAGAACTGAAATTGACTAATTGTGTTGTTTTTTGTACAATTTCAGAGAGAATTGCAGCAACATAGTTTATGCAAGCAAAGACTCCCCCCCGGGGAATGGATGGAGTTGCAAAAGTCAAACACTCGATGTGCACTGAGAGAACTTACGAAGGCAACGGTACAAGTAACTTAGATTCTTAAATTGCCCTATTAAATTGTTGCTAAAGTGTTAACACCTTGTATTTGCTTAATAGGTTTTAAACCTCCATGACGTGCGAGTCAGCGCATTGCCACCAATAGAAAGCATGGAATGTTGAATAGTAGTATGTTCGACCTACACCTGGGGTATGCTTCTCTTCTTCATCCAAAACTTGTTGATCTGATGCACTTTTTTACATGTGTTTATACATTGGGTTATGACAGGAAATTGGGGAAAGGTTGGGCAGATGTTAACATGTCAGATTTCAAGTGCCTTGATTCCATGTGGTTTTATTTGTACTCACAACGACCACATAGGCGGAAGGTGCTGAGATGAATTCAAAAGGAGGATATACTATAGAAGAAATATGTATTCATTCCCATTGTACTCTGGGTAGGTAATGTGCACTGTATTTACATGTCTCCTTGTGACTTTTGTATTTAGATGATGCTAACACATTGAGTTTCTATATGGGCAGGGGTCATTGGAGTTTGCTGATCTTATGCAACTTTCGGCAAAAAACGTGTTCAGAACCCAACATCAGTTGCATGTTATTGTTGGATTCCCCTAGATCGGTAGACCCTATGAGGTTTGAACCCTTGATAAGAAAGTAAAATCTCCTAAAACCTAAACCCCTTTCTGGTCCAAGTCCATGTCTATCAAAATTAAGCAGTTTAAGTTGTTTTGAGCAATTTACATTTCCCAACCTGCTTGACAGGTTTGTCTGCGATGTTTATGAAAATCAAAAAATGAAAAAGAAGATGGACAGGCTTGCAGAAATACCTCTCCTACTGCCAAAGGTCATTACTATGGCCTTAAACTAAACTGAAATTTCCGTTATGTATTACCATATAGCCATACGTTGACTGAGTTAATGACTCCAATTGAAAGTAGGTTCCCCCAGTAGAGAAACCAAATGGATTGTGGGTATTTTGTCCTTTACTATATACTGAAGTTTGTGGTATCATTTTTTTTCCATAATTGAAGGGTACCCTTACTTTGTAAGTGCAAAAACACTGGGAAAATACTGACATTTGTTTATTGCAATGTGCAAAGTACACATGCAGTTGGTTTTTTAATTTATTTTCTAACTCGTTTATTCTATTTTTCTTAACATAGATGAAGGAGGACTGGTTCGGTATGGATGAATTTCAATCCTTCAGTGACTCGCCGTAGAGTAAGTTTGTTCTTGACATTTGTGCTATCAACTGTTACGTAGTGATATACAGGACAATTATTGTATAGTCTTTAACATGTCTTCTACACTGCCATGTACAAAACTGTTTGCACCCAAAGAGGCTGGGATCAACAACAATCAAACTTCGGCAAAATGAGAGATATGTAATGGTGTTATATATTATGTAAAATGTTAACAAATAGACTAAATAATTTCATTAAATACAGCCCGAAACCTGTCAGTCGGTTGTTCTGAATTCAGAGTGTAAATAATATGTCGTTCCGAAAACTTATGATTTCTATTAAAATAACATTTCATTTGCATCAACCTCTTGGCAGAACTTGAATTTTTCGATGCGCAATATATGTGAAACCTCAGTGTAAAAGTTCGTAGATCCATTGATGCATCATCGTCGATTAGTAGGTTGACAACTTATGCCGGTAATGCGCTACATGATCATTGGTGCAGGACTCAGCTCTAACTTGGTGAATGTGTGATAGCCGGCGACTATATTGTAATATAGCTGCAAGTAGACAGAGCTTAATATTCTTGGTTAGTGTCTTGGATGAGCGCCTCATTGGGCCCATTTGAGCCTTGCCCCTCGCCATTTTTTAATGCAAAGTGCCCATGGGAGTCGCAACGATGAGGATGGCATGCCGTGAGACTATATTTATTCAGGCCAAGCTGTATTTATTTTGCTTTAAGCCAAGGAGTTGGTAGGTATATCAGCAGCAGAACGGCACGGGCTATCAACAGATAGACTGTAATTATATTGTGCAGCGCGTCGCCTCCAGCAATAATTTTGCCATGCTAATGTAAGGCTTTTCGATTGTGCAGACCGATTAGCCGAGTTGTTTTGGGGGAACGAAGCGCATATATGCATATTTGCAGTTTTAGTTCCATTTGTTTCTTGTTAAATGAGGATGGCGTTGTTAAGTTTTATGCGTAGCTCCGGCATGCAGAATTTGGTTGTGTGCCAAGGGCAAAGTCTGATAGGCGGTGAATGTTGATATGTGCTAGTGCATGGTGTTGGTGTGCTACGGTTCGTGGACTGCTGGGTTGTAGGGGGGTGCAAGCAGTTGCTTGCTTTTGTCTAAGGGGAGTGGGGGGTTGCTAGGCCATATGGTAGAACCACCCAAAAGTGGCAAGTGTATATTGATGGTGATTGGCCTGTCACGATGCGATGATGCAGGATTTTTTCCCTTGATAATGGTTTTCATTTTTTGAAAAAACAATTGCCAAAAAAATCAATGTATTATAGTAATTTACATTCATTTACTAACTTAGCTATAATTCGGATATAATATGTGCCTAGGTCCAAGGATGAGTTGTTTACTCGGAATTTTACACTTTTAACCAAACAATTAATAATTGGATACCACAATTCTACTACGTAAGGGTTTTAGTAAAATATATATCAATAATATATAATATTAGCAATCAAAACCTTATCATTTATACAGCTTTGACAAACAAAACACAATAATATTCTAGTATCCCCCCCCCCCCCCCCCCCCCAAGTAATTCTTATATCCAGTAATCTTTACCAGTAATCTATGTTTTGAGATAATACAACAATTCATAAACCAAACACACCTTGATAGTTACTGCAAGTCCGCATCAAATAGCACTATGAAGCTCTGTTTTAAAACCCGGACCAGACCAACCGGTTCGACTGGTTCCACCGAGAGCTGGCCTTTACTTCGGTTCGGGTTAACACAAAATCGAAAATATTAATTAACCCATTTTGGACCGGTAATGGACCGACGAAATAGTATAAAACCATCGATCCAATCGGCCTGGAGCTTAAAACGGTTCGTCTAATCCAAAAAAATTCATACTCCTAATCCCTAAACCAATTTTAGCATCGTTTCTTTATCTTCTATTTTCATCTTCAATGCTTCTTCACGACACTTACACTAAAATCTACTGGTAAAGAAGAAGAAGGAAGGGAAGGGAAGAAGAAAGAAAAGAAGAGACACGAGAAAGAGTAAGAAGAAGATTAGAAGAAAGAAAAGAGGAGATGAAGAGAGAGAAGAGGAGAGAAAAATTACAGTAGACGAAGAAGAAAGAGGAAGAAGAAAAAGAGAAGGAGAAGAAGAAAGTGACGGGGAGTGATGGGGAGAGAGAGAAAAAAAAGAGAGAATTTATGGGGAGTGATGGCGTGATGGAGAGAGAAAAAAAAGTGAAAGATGAAAGTGATAGGGAGGGAGAAAAAATAATTAATAATAAAATTGAGGGTCAATTTGCTTTATTTTAAACTTAAGAGGGGTTTATTGTAACTTTTAGGGATGTATTTGCTGGTTTTTAAACTTATAACAATTAATATATTTGTTTAAAGATGGTACTGTTATATACCGGTCAGACCGACCGGTCCAATCGGTTAGACCGGTCAACCTGCGAACCGGCCTCTTAACTGGGTCAACAAACGGTCCGGCTTTTAAAATGTGAAGCACTTACTTCCCATGAATTAGACCAGATAAATAAAACAACTTTGCTCCGTCATATATTTCTGTCCAGAGACGATGTTTGAGACGCTGCTTTTTTTTTCTCAACTTCTTCACATCCTTGAACGTATCAAGGTGAGTAAGAACTCCCATAACCCTGGGCGTTCCATGAGTTTACATTAAGTAAAGAAATTCAAAGCTTTCCTGCAATGAACAGAAAAGATAGAGAAACTCAAAATTGTTTTCAATTACAGATGGACAAAAGAAATCTTGATCAATCCATACAAGCAGAAAAGTATAAAATGATAGATAACTAATACATAAAATTAAGTTAAAAATATCAGGAAAACGAAACAAAACTGGGCAGCGCCATAAACAAAAATGATGCAAGCCAAATGAAAGTCTTAATATAAAATAATGAAACCAAACATGCCAATTGACAAATTGATCAAGGAATGATCAGTGTATAACCATTTAATACTCTGATACAAAATCATCAATAATTCAAACTAACAACATCCAATTAAATAAAAATAATAATACAAAAAGAATCCTATTGTTAAAATTAATTCATATACCCAAAAGCATCCGATCAATCAAACCAATATCAATCCTGTCAGCTCAAATAAGAAGAAAGTAAGGTTCCCCAAAGAAACATCATGCAGTAATCAACAGTGAAAACTAAACAGCAATAATCTCACCATTTCAAACCCGTAACTTCCATCTATGAGAAGCAGTGCCAAGTCAGCAACCTTTGCACAATCAATCATACCATTGATATCATTAGCCACCTTTGCTTACCTAACATATTTCATCAATTCCGCATCAGAGTTTAAGAAAATAAAGAAAACATAAACTCCAATAACTTTTTTAATTTAATAATTCATTAGGTCAGAGCTACTCACAACGATTACAAACTCTCCATCCCCTTCCATTTTTTTGTTTATTTTTTTATTCCAACTTTCTTCGTTTAGTATGTGAAAGAGCTAAGGTTTCTGCATCTTGGTTCACCTTAATATTAACATCATTTTGAGTAGATTGAGAACCAGCATTTTGGTTTCTAAATTGACCGATTCCCTATCACGAAGATGCAAAGAAGTAATAAACAAGTGCATAGAAGCAATCTAATTTTAAAAGCAATGGATTGTGAGAATGTTAAAGAGAGCAAGATAAAACTTAATTATATAACAAGCATGTAGAAATTAGGATCACATTGAACCCAAAAGTCCAGGAGATTCACTTAACAATTTTTTATAGACATAACATAATATGAGATCCAGATTAACTTGTGATTATTCCTAGTTGTGGGACTCCAGATATGACCCAAAGGTGATGAATCATAGACACAGGCTTCTTTCCTCTTTCCTGTCCATCAAATGACTCTTTTTCTCAATTTTGTATACATAAAATGAAGTCTCAGTTTTTTCTTTTTTCTTTTTCTTTTTCTAGTTGATAAAAGACATCCCAACCCTTCCTAATCAATTATCAAAGACAAGAAGGAATGTTCCACTTTCCACTTCCTAATCAATTATCAAAGACAAGAAGGAATGTTCCACTTTGCACTAACTTATTATCTAGACATTTCTATAATTTGTCTTAGGTTGTGAAAATTTACAAGGGGCTTGAACTAAGACATCTTCATAAGGAAACAGTCCTAGCAGATAAGTGCCTGAATATTATACTGTCAATCAGAAACAAGAAGCAACTCCATCGCCTTGTTAAGTTACTTACACATTACAACTTCATCGGCTATCTTTGTTTGCAAACTCGAACTTAAATAGATTGAATTGAAGACCCTGAAATGAAAAATTGAGTTGCAGAATGTTGGCAGTTACACCACAATTCTCTCAAGTTGGCCTTTATTATTAAAATTTAGGATGTATTTACAAGCTGATGAGCCCATCATTCTAAACTTATTTGAGCTATAATGTTAGAAGAAAGTCTATTTAAAATGATTATGTTACCTCATGACATGTATTAAAACTTTCTTAGTTAAGTAGAAGATTATCTATTTGATTGGCCTAACATACATCATAATTCATATAAAGCCTTCACGCACTGATATGTGCTAGTGCATGGTGTTGGTGTGCTACTGGTTCGTGGACTGCTGGGTGTAGGGGGGTGCAAGCAAGTTGCTTGCTTTTGTCTAAAGGGGAGTGGGGGTTGCTTAGGCCATATGGTAGAACCACCCAAAAGTGGCAAGTGTATATTGGATGGTGATTGGCCTGTCACGATGCGATGATTGCAGGATTTTTTCCCTTTATAATGGTTTTCATTTTTCTGAAAAAACTAATTGCCAAAACAAAATCAATGTATTATAGTAATTTACATTCTCATTTCGTAACTTAGCTATAATTCGGATAAATATTGTGCCTAGGTCCAAGGATGAGTTGTTTACTCGGAATTTTACACTTTTCAACCAAACAAATTAATAATTGATATCCAATAATCTTACATACGTAAGGTCGTTTTAGTAAAATAATATATCAATAATATATAATTATTGTCAATCAAACACCTTAATCATTTATACAGCTCTGACAAACAAAACACAATAATAATTTATATCCAGTAATCTTTACCAGTAATCTATGTTTTGAGATAATACAACAATTCATAAACCAAACACACCTTGATAGTTACTGCAAGTCCGCATCAAATAGCACTATGAAGCTCTGTTTTAAAACCCGGACCAGACCAACCGGTTCGACTGGTTCCACCGAGAGCTGGCCTTTACTTCGGTTCGGGTTAACACAAAATCGAAAATATTAATTAACCCATTTTGGACCGGTAATGGACCGACGAAATAGTATAAAACCATCGATCCAATCGGCCTGGAGCTTAAAACGGTTCGTCTAATCCAAAAAAATTCATACTCCTAATCCCTAAACCAATTTTAGCATCGTTTCTTTATCTTCTATTTTCATCTTCAATGCTTCTTCACGACACTTACACTAAAATCTACTGGTAAAGAAGAAGAAGGAAGGGAAGGGAAGAAGAAAGAAAAGAAGAGACACGAGAAAGAGTAAGAAGAAGATTAGAAGAAAGAAAAGAGGAGATGAAGAGAGAGAAGAGGAGAGAAAAATTACAGTAGACGAAGAAGAAAGAGGAAGAAGAAAAAGAGAAGGAGAAGAAGAAAGTGACGGGGAGTGATGGGGAGAGAGAGAAAAAAAAGAGAGAATTTATGGGGAGTGATGGCGTGATGGAGAGAGAAAAAAAAGTGAAAGATGAAAGTGATAGGGAGGGAGAAAAAATAATTAATAATAAAATTGAGGGTCAATTTGCTTTATTTTAAACTTAAGAGGGGTTTATTGTAACTTTTAGGGATGTATTTGCTGGTTTTTAAACTTATAACAATTAATATATTTGTTTAAAGATGGTACTGTTATATACCGGTCAGACCGACCGGTCCAATCGGTTAGACCGGTCAACCTGCGAACCGGCCTCTTAACTGGGTCAACAAACGGTCCGGCTTTTAAAATGTGAAGCACTTACTTCCCATGAATTAGACCAGATAAATAAAACAANGGCCTGTCGCCGCGGCGAAGAAACATTTGTCGCCGCGGCGAAACTGTCCAGAGAGTTTCACCCTTGGTTCAACCCATCTTCGCCGCGGCGAAGATTCTTCTTCGCCCCGGCGAAGCCTGGTACACTCAAATTCTTCTATTTCAACCAAGATTCAGGGCAACAATCAAATAACACTCAAACAAACAAATATAACAACAACCAACTCGATTAAGGGCGAAAGAGGAAACAATAACAACGTACCTCAAGCGGGGCGTTACATAATGGAAGCCTGTCCATATAATACAGACCGGCGTCCATATAAAATGGATGCCCGTCCATACGCAAATAAAATGTTTTTTTTTTTAATTTACATGATTTTTTTTTCTATTTGTAAAAATCATTAGCTTGTCTAATACGCTTCTCCAAAATAAACGCCAAAATTTTTACTAGAAACAAAAAAACAAAAAGAACTTCATTTTAAACCTATTTCCTCTGGCTTCGTCGTTCCCATCTTTTCTTCGCATCTGCGTGTTATATTTAGTGTTGTACCAGTTTCTACCTCGATAGCCACAACCGATTTCTTCCTCAATAAGCCTTAATAGCCAACAAACAACTACCGTGACAAGAAAGAAAGCCACTAATTTTTCATGAAATAATCGTTTAGGGTGGAAAAGGAGTTTGGGAGATCAAAAAAAATTCAGATTAGAAAGATTTGTTGAGGTACTTAAAGAGTTTTTTATTTAATTTATGCATTTATTTAGTTTTGTATTATATTTTGGATTGAATATATGTTACAATAGAAAATAACTAATACAAAATATTTGTTGGTGATTATTGTGAATCATATTTGTGAATGCAAACACTAGTATTGGTTTTGCACAAAATTATGGAATATGGAAGATTTCAGTTTGCCTCATTTTAATGATGTTGAGGTAAATTGTGCTCGAAACCTTTACTTTTTCATTAATATAATTTTAAATTTGTTGTATCGTATTGTTTCTTAGGATGTTTTGTATTAGTACATTCTAATTTTGTCCATTATAAAACTATTAAATGATTAGGATAATGAACATAATAAATTAGAAGATATATGATGTGCAGAGGAAGAAGTTGAGCCTCATATTGGAATAGTGTTTGATTCAATTGATAGTCTGGTGAAGTATTACAAACGGTATGGTAACAAAATGGGTTTTGAAGTAATGATACGTACGTCAAAGAAAGACGATGATAGGGAGATGAAATACGTGATAGTGGTGTGTTCTTGTTCTGGGAAGGAGAGATGTAAATCCAGAAATACCTTGAAAAAGCAACCTGTTGCCAAAACAGATTGTAAGAGTCGGATTAGTACAGGTTTGAATGGTCAATGCAAATGGGAAATTAAATCAGTTGTACTTGAACATAACTATGATCTTACAAGTCCGACTAAAAGAAGATATTTCAAGGTTAACCGAACGATACAACCTTATGTGAAAAGGAGGTTTGAAGTTAATGATATGGTTGGGATTAGACTGTGTAAAAATTATCAATCATGTTTAGTTGAGGCAGGAGGTGTAGACAATCTGACATTTCTACAAAAAGATTGTAGAAACTACATTGAAAAAGTGAGAAGGCTATGACTTGGAGTTGGAGATGCTTTGGCAGTACTCGAGTATTTTATGAAAATGCAAAAGGATAATTCAAATTTCTGGTACATGATTGATGTAGATTAAGAAAGTCGATTACAGAATGTGCTATGGGTTGATGCTAGATGTAGGGCTTCATATAAAGAATTCGGTGATTTTGTTATCTTTGACACAATGTATCTGATGAACAAGTATGATATGCCATTTGCTGCTTTTGTGGGGGTTGATCATCATGGACATTCGACATTGTTAGGTTGTGGGTTAATTTTCCATGAGGACACTGAGACATTTGTATGGCTATTTCGTTCTTGGCTTGAATGCATAGATGTTGCTCCTAATGGAATTATCACTGATCAAGATAAGGCCATGCAAAATTCAATTGAGATTGGTTTCCCTGGTACAAGATATAAGTGGTTTTTGTGGTATATAATGAAGAAACTACCTAAAAAGTTAAAAGGGTATAAGGAATATGAAACTATAAAGTTTAAGTCACAAAATATTGTACGCTTGAAGAGTTCTAAGAACGGTGGAACCAATTTGTTGATGTGTACAACCTTTATGAGAATGAATGGTTATGTGGATTGTACAAAGAAAGAGTACGGTGGGTTCCTACATTTCTTAAAGATACTTTCTGGGCAGGTATGTCTACTACCCAACGTAGTGAAAGTATGCATGTATTTTTTTATGGATATGTAAATTCCAAAACTACTTTGAAATAATTTGTGGAACAATATGATAATGTATTGCGAGATAAAGTGGAAAAAGAAAGGGCGGCTGATTTTAGGTCTTTCAAATCTTGGATACCATGCATCATTAATTACCCTATTGAGAAACAATTTCAAAGTGCATACACAACTACAAAGTTTAAAGAGTTTTAAGAAGAGATTGTAGGGAAAATTTATTATGAATTATCTTTTTTGAAAAAGTGTGATTCATACAAGGAGTATCAAGTTTTAGAAGATGTTTGGTTTGGAGATAGTAGTCGTCATGTTCCCTTTGCGGTATACTTTGAAGAAAGTTTGTGTGATATTCGTTGTACTTGCCATTTGTTTGAGTTCAAGGAGATTTTATGCAGACATGTCATTATTGTGTTGATTCATAAAAGGGTTTCACACGTTCCAGAAAAGTACATTTTATGGCGTTGGAGGAAAAATATAAATAGATGCCATACGAAAATTAAGGTGAGTTATAATAGGTGGAGCACCAACGTTGAAGGACAACGTTTTGATAAGTTGTCTAATATAATGCTAACAGTAGCCGATATGGCATCAAACAATGAAAAAGATTGTAATATGTTGATGGAATTTATGATTGACATGAGAAAAAAGTTGGAGCAAAAGGACAGTGAGGGAGGGCTTGGTAGAAAAGTAAACATCTCTTCCACAACCAGTTTGAGTAGTAAAGATGAATAATCTAATTATCATTCCACAGGCAGTTTGTAGCAAATGTCGTCCTCCATGTAGAAGAAAGCAATCGAAAGTTGAAGAAATTGTACGTAGGGTTAAAAATAAAAAATTACGAAAATAAAGAATTGGTATGAGTTATACACCTATTCTTACATGATATTTGTTTTTGAAACATTATTTACTTATTTGAAGTTTATAATAATATTGACTTGATTATTAATGTGTTATGCTACTTTTTAGGAAAATGATTATTAATAGAGCGAGAAAAGGAACAGTTTCTTTCTTTCTTCTACTTCCGTGGTCGATGCCCTCCCACATGATTACATCAACATTGTTAAAAGTATACCGGAAACTCAAGTGTTGTCAAATGATGTTGTTGCTACCCAAGTATGTGTTATGTATGTTGTATAATTGTAATTGGCTTAAGTTTTCTATAACGTGTGCTAAATTATGGTTGTTGGACATTGACAGTTGTCCATTGTTCC